GCGCGCCCCGCCGCGCCGAGAGGGAGCCGCCGCCGGAATCTCCGTTTGAAAAATTAGCCTGTGGCGCGCGCCCCTCCGCGAGCGCTGCTCGGAGGGAGACTCCAGCTGACTCGACTGACCGACGCGTAACTCTGACACCAAAAAACATCGAGCAGCTCGCCGGGACGCGGCGGCGCCGCTGCAGCCGGCCGGGCAGGCCGGGCCCCGGGGGTGGGGCAGCCCCGGGGCCCGCAGGGGGCTGTGCGGTCTGGCCGGTCCAGGCCAGGCTTCGTGTCAGCACTGCCCTGCTCAGGCTTGGGGACCCTGAAGGGCCCACCTGGGCTCGGGGCTGCGTCCCAGGCGTCTCAGGTCAGGCTGTGAGCAGGACAGGAGCCCGGGGCCGCTGCGGATGGGACAGTGCAGGGAACAGGACCCCACGGGACAGTGCGGGGCCTGGGGCCAGCCGGCCACCACGTAGGCCTAGCAGCCCACGAGCCGAAACCCCGGGGGGCCGGGGGCAGAGTCTCCCTGGGGCCCGGCGGGCTGTCAGGGAAGCCGGGGCCGGGGAGGGCCTGACCCGTGGGCCTGACCCCAGGGTGCCGGCACCCTCTGCGGGGCGCGGCAGTGGGCTGGGGTCCCACTCGCTGCCCCGGAGGCTCAGGACTCGGAGGGAGGGGGGGCTGGGCGGCCCTCCGCGCGTGGGGGCGGGTGCGGGGGAGACCGCCTCGCCGCGGGGCGGCGCTGTCCCCCAGGGCCCAGCCTGTGGGGGCTGCGGCACAGCGGGCCAGTCACGGAGCCGCTGGCCGGCGTGTCCGCGCGGGGCCACCTGCCCCACCCAGGAGGACTGGCCAGTGGGCGTGGCCAGCAGGGTCCCTGCGGTGCGGAGTGGGGGCCTCCCGGCTCTGCCGGCCGCGGGCTGGGGGAGGGCGCTAACGAGTTCCAGGAGGTCAGCTGCAGCCCGCAGCCCTCCACTGGCGTCTCGGGGGACCGGATGTGGCCGCTCCGGTTTGGATCTCGCCCTGCGGGTGCTCAGCGCGTCCGGGGCTGTTAAAGAAACAGGCTCCCGCCTCTCGGGCCGACGGGGGCCCTGCCCGTCCCGGGCTGCCCGCAGGCCACTGCCCTCGGGCCTGTGGAGGGGACCGTCCGGGCAAGGGGCAGCCCCCGCGCCACGGCTCACCCTCGGGCCCGGCTGGCCGCCTGGCCCTTGAGCCCAGGGCCTCCGCTGGGTCAGCCTGCGGGGCGGGGGCCACGGTCAGGGCACCCGGAGGGGTGGAGAAGCCACGGGCCCTGGGGTGCCCGGTGAGGGAGGCCGATGGGTGCCCCCCACTGCCCTGCAGAGTCCCCAGCGGCACCCTGGAGGCCCTCTGTCCCCCCCACAGGCCCACAGCCTGCCAGATAACCCTGGCTCGGGCTCCTGAGCCCCCCAGGCCCCAGAGCAGCTGCAGAGGTGGGGGCAGCCACCCCACCGGGCTGCTGGTCCCCAGGCGGGCGGTCTCAGGAAGGGGACAGGGCACCCCACACACACAGTGGGCACAGGCTCCGGCCCAGAGAGGGAGGGGTGGCCCACGCTGCCGGCCAGCATGGGCGCCTCCTGTCCACTGTGGGCAGGCCCCGTCCCCGCAAGGACAGTGGCCGGGGGCCCTGGGGCCCCGGAGGGGTGCAGGCAGGCGCAGGCAGAGGGCCGTGGGCGGGGGCTGGAGAGGCCTCTGGGCGGCCAGCAGCGCCGTGCCATGTCCCCACAGGCCCAGAAGGCCGAGCTGGAGCAGGCCCACGCCC